AAGAAATTAAATGTGACTTTATAAAAATAAGCACCTATGCATTTTTTCTTTTTAGTAGAAGGACCATAGCATTATTCAGATCTCAAATCAAAAAGCTTTGGGCTGGCCGATTAGTTCTGTTGGTTAGAACACGGTGCTATAACACCAAGGTCAAGGGTTCAGATCCACATACTGGCCAGTTGCCTCCCCAAAACAAAAAATAAACAAGGAAAAAAAAAAACTTAAAAGTTACATATAATTTCTATTGACGGAAGATTAATAAATAAAAATATTACACAAATAAATTTGGAACTCAGAAATTACTGACAAGCTTAATAGTACTGAAATCAAGAAAAAAACTTCTGGGTATTCCAAATACTTGTGTATTTAGGCTTCAGGCAAAAAAGAAAGCCTGTTCTGATTATCTTTAAAGGTTTTCTGATCTACTGCTTATTTGTACTCACCCTGCATATAAATCAAAGCATCATAAATTTTCACCGTGTTATCAATGATTGCCTCCAGGTCAGGTTTCTGAACAGATTCTAACAAACTCCTACAGGTCTTAAGCACTTTTGTGTAAAAATCCAAAGACATCCAAGTTATCACCACTGAAGGGTTCTTCTTACATTTATCTTGACAGTCCTTGAAATTATGGCTGCATTAAGTACATTTTTAAAGTCATTAGAATTAAGATGAATTTTGTTAGAGTCAAGCCTAATATTTCAGTAAAGAAAAAAGAAATGGTGAGTATAAAACTAACCTATAACCTTAAACCAATTTAAAGTAAATATGCAAATCAATTAATATGTCATTATTATTTTAAATGTAATCTCTTTTATGTCGACTTAACTCACTCTTAGGATTTGGGAAATAAATTTAATCTAGGATACTTCCTTTTTTCTTTGTTTTTTGGGGTTTTTTGTTCATTTGTTTTGGTGGGTTTTTTTCTTTTTGGTGACTAGCCAGTAAGGTAGGATACTTATATGTGGCATCACCGGGCTTAAAAAATGACAAGACATGCCTGTATAACTATTAACCGGCTGGAAGTGTGTAAACACTTTCTTCACAACAGGACGATGGTAGGCTTCAGCCTAATCATCTCTTCCTTCAAGTTATCTCCAATTCCCAATTTAAGGGAATCTGAATTAATATAGATCTTCTAAAATCTCTTTTATAACTTTGCATTGGCTAGTTAAGAGTGAATCAGAAAATACAGAATTACCATGAAAAAATTAACAAAGAGTAATGGTCTAAAATGTGGCGGTAAAAATAAAACTAAATCTTCAGATTACTTGTCTGTTTTACCTACATTAAGAATATTGATCTCGGGCCGGCCCGTGGCGCACTGGAGAGTGCGCCGCTTGGGAGTGTGGCGGCGCTCCCGCCGAGGGTTCGGATCCCATGTGGAGACCGGTGCCCGCTCACTGGCTGAGCACGATGCGGGCGCAACACCGAGGGTTGCGATCCCGTTACCGGTCAGTAAAAAAGACAAAAAGGAAAAAAAAAAAAAGAATATTGATCTCTAAAGGGCCACAAAAATGATTACATTCTGTAATGCTGAATATAGTAATTACCCTGATTTGAGCATCACATATCATACACAGGTATTGATAGTCAACGTGGCACTCACAGATACATATAATCAATTATGTTTCAAAAAAAAAAAATACTGGTCTCTGATGAGTTCTAAATTCCTATTGTTATTATCGAAGGGAGAAATGGAGCAGTCAAAAGAACACTGGCTTCTGAGTTTTACATAAATGTGTTCTGCTACTTTCTAATCATGGGTTCCCAGAAAAGTTAGTTTAGGCTTCAGACAAAAAAAGAGCCTCAACTTCTCTGAGCCTCAACTTCTTTTCTGTAAAGTGGACATAACAGCATTTACCTCACAAAATTGTTGTAAGACATATACAGTGCTTAGCATAGTGCCTAGCACTTAGCAGGCACTCAACTGAAAATAAATTTCTTATCTACCTCACTGAAAAGTTTGCATTCTAAGTTCACATGAATCAAGTGAATAACAAGATCTCCTAAAACAGTAAATCCAAGTTCATTACAAGAAACCCACCCAGAAAATATAAGTTGTTTTACCAGGTCACGTTTTGATGAGAACAGTGAACAGTGCACAGAGCAGTCAGTTGTAAGACAACAACGATTCCTTCTAAAGTCTCAATAACAAGATTCTTTAGATTACCGTTTTCAAGGGAAATCTGAAGGGATTCGGCTTTCTGTTTCAGTGCGCTCCATAATATGCTCTTTTTATTCATATCCACATGTTTAATTCTATAATTAATTATAACCACAGTAGAAAGATATTCATATTCAATATAAATTTGGTTTAAATGTGAAACATACTTAAAACAAAAAATACAATGTAATATCACTACTAAAATTCATACTGCGAAAGATTTAAAACAACAATTAAAACAATGTTCAGGGCTGGCTGAAATGTGGCAATTCTTTGGCTATATTAAGAAATACTTTGCGGGCCAGCCCCGTGGCTCACTCAGGAGAGTGTGGTGCTGGTAGCACCGAGGCTGCAGGTTCGGATACTATATAGGGATGGCCGGTGCGCTCACTGGCTGAGCGTGGTGCAGACAACACCATGCTGAGGGTTGTGATCCCCTTACCAGGCAAAAAAAAAAAAAAAAACTTTGCTAACATTTAAAAAATTGCTGATAGATGTATAGTATCAGATTTTTTATATATTAAAAAGTTAAATTAGACAGGCATGTAAAAACAAGCAAAGTAATTATATTTAGCTATAAAACATTTCATAATAGAACAGACTACAAAAACTATTAAACTATTTTAAGCATTCTTTTGACAACATTTAGAAAAATGTTTTTTGTGTATTTAAATCAAAGCACTAAAACATGATTCTAAAGTGAACACAGTTTCATTAAATGACCAAATACAAACTGAATGAAGGTCATACTCCTCAGTCTGTTTCAGTGCTCTTTTGGAAGAGTTTAGAGATGAACTGAGTCGACGCCTTTTGGGTGATATTCCATCACTATCACTGCTGAGGCTTTCCCATTGAGCTTGGCATTGAATCTCCTCAAGGATTTCCATACTTTCCATTTTCAAGGCTGCATAAAGTGGGCCCAATAAGTACTGAGAAAACAAAAATAATTTCAAAACTCTCTCTTAGAAAATGTTTATATTATTCATAGGCAGCAAGAAAGCATTTGGTTTTAATATGTTTTCTAGTAAGGTAAACTATTTTCAAAGTCTCATAAAGCAACACAAATACCTAAGTTAATCTATATTATTTAAGTCTATATATTTAGTATGGTTGTATAGTTTTAGAAGGCTTAACACAAACTCTTCTATAATCTGTTTTTCCCTCTATCAAAATGCTACAAAGAAAACTTCTATAAGGGAATTTTCACAGTATAAATCCAGAAAAATGTAAAAATAAAATAAAATGTTTAATCAACTTACTACATATCTGACTATTTTATTGTATTGCCTGTCTCCCACAGTTCAAACAGGAAAAAGGGCATAATTCGGCATAACTAATTACTCACAGGTTTCCTAAAACTGATTGATAATAACCTGTTGAAAATAAAATCTATGAGTGATCAGAGTTTCTGCAATTAAGTTGATAACTGGCCCCCTTTTAGTTAATAATGAAACAAACATATTAATACTTCACAAATTCTACTTTAAAATATTCTACTCGACTGGCAGTTCATTACCAGCTTAATGAATAAGTCCTTCTGAAATCGAAGTAAAAATCCATAATAGGTAGCCAAACTAGATTACGTCCTGAATGTACATTATTATTAAAGATACTCTATTTTCTTATTATCACCTTGCACATATGCATGTACTTAAATGAGCAAAACACATACCTAACAAGTAACCTTAAAAATGTCTTACCTCTAGGCCGGCCTGTGGCTCACTCGGTAGAGTGCGGTGCTGATAACACCAAGGCCACGGGTTCGGATCCTACATAGGGATGGCCGGTTTGCTCACTGGCTGAGCGTGGTGCTGACAACACCAAGCCAAGGGTTGAGAACCCCTTACTGGTCATCTTTTTAAAAAAAAAAAAAATGTCTTACCTCTGCATCTACCTGAAGTCCAAGCACATCCACAAGAGATCTGCAAATATTTCTGATGTAGACCTTCCTGACTTGTAAAGCAGATTCATACCCGTCTGGCACAAATTTAAGGAAATACTGCAGTAAATGGCACAAAGCTGCTTTTAGCAAATCAGACTTAAGCTGCATAAGCACACCATCTTCAAACAAGACACAGAGTTTTTCCAGTAGCATATTTAAATAGACAGGTTCAATATTTCTATAAGCTTCTGCTTCAAAGGGGAATAGTGTCTTTATCAGCTTCGATAATGGCTCTTCGAAGAGCTTCAATTGGTCAGTATCCATTTCTACAAGGTGTTTTAATAATTCCAAAAATGAGCTGAAAAAAGTGTTGGCTGGTTGTGCTGGTAGTCCTCCAAGCTCAAAGAGTTCAGTTAAAAGGCTAATTGCTAAGGATTTAGTCTTTGGACTACCATACTCTAGCAGAACACAACCTATCTGCCAAAGTAAGAGTTCTTGCCTTCTAAAAAACACAATCGCAATAATACGAATAAGAACCGTTAATAAAGTAACTTCAATAAATTCTAAATTTTGCATGGTCGTGAACTGCAAAGGAGCTGGTTGTAAACATCCCATGTGTTCATCTAATTGACTTAAAAATTGGCTAGCAACTACTGGCCATTCTACAATGTCTCCCATTGCATTTCTCCTGTGGAGGTAAATCAAGTCTTCAAAAAGATGTAATAATTCCTTTGTGAGTACCCCAAAAATAGCAGGACTCTTGCTTTTAAAAAGGAATAATAATGAGCAGATGACTTCACAGATTTTCTTATGTAACATGTAACAGGATGGAGTTGCTGCAATCCGCAGAAGTCTTGTTATGATCCAATTACTGAATTCTTTGAAATAAACAAAAAAAGATATTAAATAAGCAAGTACATTGAAAGTGCTAATTAATTTGCTAAATGCTTGATGATTGACTTTTTTTTTTTGGTGGCTGGCCATTATGGGGATCTGAACCCTTGACCTTGGTGTTATAACACTGCACTCTAACTAACTGAGCTAATCAGCCAGCCCTGATGATGATTTTAAAGAATAAACTTCACTAACAAAAATAATCTAAAACATTCCCTACACAATGGAAACATATTATAATAGTTTAGAATACCAAGTATAGATAGAGTCAGACAGACAAAGTCCTACCTTTCTACTTACTAGTTGTGTGAACTTTTCATTTCTCTGAACCTTGTAACTTCATCTATGAAAGGGGAATAATGACATGTATGCTATGAGTTACTCTGAGGATAGAATAAGATAATGTACATAAAATACTCAGTCAAGGGCCGGCCTGTAGCTCACTTGGGAGAGTGTGGTGCTAATAACACCAAAACCATGGGTTCAGTTCCCAATATAGGGATGGCCGGTTGTCTCACTCGGGAGAGCATGGTGCTGACAACACCAAGTCAGGGGGTTAAGATCCCTTACCGGACATCCTTAAAAAAAACAAAAAAACAAATAAAAACTCCTAATGTATAAAAATGTTCAATAAACGATAGCTAACATCACTCCTTCAACAAAAATTTGAGTGGCGACTCTGTCCCAGACGCACAAGAGTAAATCAGTCATACTACTGTCCTCTCAAATGCTATAGTATAATTTCTTGAACTTTTTGACTGCAACTAAGAAATACATTTTACATCATGACCCAGTATACATATGCATATTTATTTTACTTAGAAGTAAAAGTTTCATGAAATAGTACTAATTCATTACATGCGATGTACTATATTTTCTAGTTTACTTCGTCTTGCTTTAAATGCTGATAACTCTCTAATTTCATAACCCACTAGTGGGTTATTATCTATAGTTTAAAAAATACTGTAGAAAAGAATATAGACAAATGATTACAATGCAGTTTAATAGCCACGCACACGGAAAAATATGCAAAACCCTTACTACTAAGAGAGCACTTAACTAAGAGTGAAGGAGTAACAAAGCCAGTTCTAGTCAGTCAGGAGTAGTGGTCAGAAAAGACTTGTTGGAGGACATGCTACCAAAGTTGAGACTTGAAGTTTAAGCATATAATTTAAAAATACCCATTACACAGAAAAAAAAAGTTTGCTTTAAACGAGTAACAAAGCCAGTTCTAGTCAGTCAGGAGTAGTGGTCAGAAAAGACTTGTTGGAGGACACGCTACCAAAGTTGAGACTTGAAGTTTAAGCATATAATTTAAAAATACCCATTACACAGAAAAAAAAAGTTTGCTTTAAACCTGTTTATGAGCAGACCAATAAAGGGACAAAAGTAGTAGGAGCAATAAGAAATAAGCCTAGAAAAAAAGCCTCACCATCTAGTACGGGGGTCAGCAAAGTTTTTCTTAAAGGGCCAAATACTTTTGGCTTCAGTGTATAAGCTGCTTCTGTAGTAGTAAATGAATGAGTGTGGCCATGTTCTAAAAAATAGAACAAAAATAGGCAGCTGGCCTGTGGGCTATAGTTTGCCAATCTCTAGCCCAGAAAAAAGAAATTACCAAGAACAGAAAAAAGAAAACTGTGCCAAAGTGCTCAACAGCAAATAAACAAATTTGATGACTTCTGTTCTTTTCTAAACACGGAGTACATGATAAAAAGAAAACAATAAGGATATGTTAAATAAAAATAACCCTTACAATTTCATTCCCTCAATTTACAGCAATTTTGACCCCAAAAACTGCAATTATGTATATGTGATATTGCAGAAGAGTAGAAAAGGGTAGAATTCATAAAACAGATTGCAAATGAATGCATGAATAGCAGCACTTACCAATACAACTGCCTTTGGCCTCATTTTGCCCATGGCTTCCATTCACATTTACAAACATAAGTGGGGAGGATTTCATGATATGTTGGATGAAATCAAGCAACATTACAGAGGTTGGCTGAGAGTCAGTTTTCTTTACAAGTTCTAGAGCAACTAAAACAATAAAAGATTCATTTTAAAGAGTCATGACAAATTAAACAGCAGTCCTTTTGTTAAGAATCTAGACGCTGGTGATCAGAATTATGTTCAGCATAGCGCTCATGCTAAATTAACGGGACCAAACACTACAGTCCTAATTTTAAATGTTTAATAATCATGTGCATTCATCTATTATATATCTATTCACCAAACATGTATTGTAGGCCAACAGTATGCTAGGCACTGTGCTAAAATCTGAGAATTGAAAAAAAAGTCTCACAATCAGGTGAGGGAGTCAAACAAATAAACAAATAATTTTAATACAATCTGGCAACTGCACTAACCCAGAATAAAGGGAAACAGGTGTCTGGGAGGACACTATGTAGGAGTTCACAGACTCTAGGAGTTGGGAAAGCACAGAGGGAAAGGCAAGTGGTCGAAGCAGAGAGTACCATATGAAAATACATCTTGCAAGTATTCAGTAGTCCTTTGTTATTTCTCAACAACACATAATTTTACCGATTGAAAAAAGAAAGGCTAAATGGCTATAAGTCATAAAATCTGTGCCAAATTTAGAATCAAATTTACAAACCCTAAGCCAAATGCCACTCTCTATTACAACATATAATTCAACAGATAATTTCAACATAATAATTTCATATAATTATTATCCCCTTCCATATAATTTCAACAGATATGACAAATGTGACACCATCTTGCCAAGTTGGTAATATTCGTCTTTTAGATTGCCTGAAACAGGCAATGGTTGATTTAACAACTCACAGAATCCTCTTACCTCCTACAGACAAAGGCACCAACTCTTATTTAAAGAGTTTTTTGTGGCTTTTTCTATATCTCGATCAATGGCACAAGACTTAAGTAAAATAGGGTCCACAAGATTGGAACTGGCCAAATATTTTTTATGTATTGATATCTCACATCAGAAAAGAATGCATAGCAAGGAGTAGAATATCTAGCTAACAAATAGAAAAATAGAATTACTTTAAAAGTCTAAATCAAGGGCCAGCCCATGGCTCACTTGGGAGAGTGTGGTGCTGATAACACCAAGGCCACGGGTTTGGATTCCTATATAGGGATGGCTGGTCAGCTCACTTGGCGGAGCGTGGTGCTGACAACACCAAGTCAATGGTTAAAATCCCCTTACTGGTCATCTTTAAAAAAAAAAAAAAAAGTCTAAATCACATTATGTAACAAGCAATACTGCATAACAACTTGCCTAAAAACAGTAACTGTCATCAGCTAGTCCAATGGTAGTGGGTTATCAGAACTTATTAACATTAGTGTCACTAAAGTTGGTATACAACCCTCCGCTGCTAAATTTGACTGGCTTTAAAAAAAAAAAAAAGAAAATAATAACTATCATAAATACAAGTATTAACCCTATATCTAAAACTTCATAGAGAAAAATGCTAGCATGATGTTGTATATATATGGAAATGAAAACTATCAAATTTGTAAAGTTGATATAAGAAATCATTGGTTTCTTACCAACATCTACATCTGTAAGTATTCGGTCAACGAACTGACATAGAATTTGTCTTGGCTTCTGTACAACTGTATTATATTCCTCTGGATTGGCACTGAAATACAAATAAAAAGTTTTTAATCTTTAAAGGGACTCACAATTTCATTTGTAAAAAATTCTCTAAAGTTGAACTTATTAAATGTGTTTAGTTTCAATGTTGACATTTGCAGTATTCTTCTGTATGAAAATGAAAAGAAAATCTAAATACATGTTACCAATTTATAAGAAAAAAAAGGGAAAGAAAACATGCTAAATGACACCACAGGGATTCGACCTGCAAAATCTAGACCTACCCTGATCAATATGGTAGCCAGTAGCCACATGTAGCTAGTGAGTAGTTGAAATACGGTTAATCCCAATTGAGATGTGCTATAAGTATAAAATACACATTGGATTTCCAATACTTAGTATTAAAAAAAGTTTTCAATTTCATTATAATTTTAAACTACATGTTGAAATGATAATATTTGGATATACTAAATTAAATAAAATATAATATTAAAATTAATTTCACCTATTTCTTTTTAACTTTTTAAAAATGTGGTTAACTAGAAAAATTTAAATTACATACGTGGCTTGCATTATGTTTTTATTGAATGGCGCTGATCTAGACTTTTTGAAAATCTACAGAACACAGTTTCTTTAACAAATAAATTCCAAGGGAAAAAAGAGAGAAGGAGAAATCTATAACTAAGACTTAAGAGTCATATCAATTTCAGTGCATGATCCTAAACTGGATTCTGATTACAAATAAAAACTGTTAGCAAATTATATATGACAATTGGGAAAATTTGAACACAGACTAGATATTTGACGCTATTAAGGAATCTTTTTTTTTTTTTTTTCAGCTACTGTTGAAAAGGTGAAAAAAAATAGTTCAGTGGGGTAAACCAGATAAATCAGACTAGCCTTCCACTCGGAGTAGATTGTGAGGCCATTCATCAAAACAGTTAACAGAGGAGGAAGAACAGGCCTGGGGAGGGGGATAAAGAAATAAAGACCCAAAGAAGCAGTTGAAGTTGAACACTTATATACTGAGTGGTACAAAAAGTAGTAAATTATAAAAACATTACAAGGCAAGGGAGCTTGGGCTAGGGTGTGGAGAAGTGACTAATAAGATGAGCATTAGTTGAAGAGGTTTTGTTTGTACAGAGTTCTCTCAGCTTCACCTACCCTGTCTCTAGTGATAAAAATGTCTTTCTTCAGGTGCAGGCAAGATAGCTTCCACCTGGGAGTTTTATCTCTTGCTTTTGGAAAGGTCAGAGTGTCCTTCTTATATCTGCTGTTTTCTTTTTTTTTTTTTTTTGTAAGTGTCTTTAACTCAAAACAATCAACAGGTCAGAGCAGATATTTTAGGGTGTTGGGTCCTGAACTCCATTCATTCCCTGTATGCTTGTAGAGAATATAATCACCTGTTGTTAGATACAGAATTAATATTTATTTGTTATATTAATCTTGTTCATTATGATGTTGCAATTTTCTTATCCTTATTGATTTTTTTCTGCTGTATCTATCAATTACTGAGAAAGTTGTGTTAAAATTTCCTGCTGTGATAGTGGATATGTCAATTTCTTATTGTAGTTCTGTCAATTTTGCCTTATATATACTGAGGCTGTTATTAGGGATATATAAATTCAGAATTGTTACATCTTCCTGATCAGTAGAACATTTTATTGCTATTTAGTGTCTATTTTTATCTTTATAATGCTTTTTTTGCATAACAGTGCTTTTTTATTGTGGTAAAATATATATAGCATAAAATTTACCTTTTTTACCATTTTTAAGTGTACAGGTCTATGGTATTAAGTACATTCAAATGATTCTGCGACCATTTGCGCCATCTATACTTTTCATCTTAACTCTATACCCATTTCTCCCTCTCCCTAGCCCAGACAACCAACATTCTACCTTCTTTCTCTACAAATTTGACTATTTTAAGCACCTCATATAAGTGGCATCTTATAATATTCATCCTTTTGTGACTGACTTATTTCACTTAGCCTAATGTCTTCAAGGTTCATCCGTGTTGTAGCATGTGTCAGAATTTCCTTCCTTTTTAAGGCTGAAAAATATTCCATTGTACGTATATACCACTTTTTGTTTATCCATTCATTTGTCAATGGACACTTAGGTTGCTCTCACCTTTTAGGTACTGTGAGCAATGCTACCTGTTCAAGTCTCTGCTTTCAATACTTTTGGGTATATGCCCAGAAGTGGAACTGCTGGTTCATGTGGTAGTTCTGTTTAATTTTTTGTGAAACCCCCATACCATTTTCCACAGTGGCTATACCACCTCCCATCTCATTTCTATACATCCTCACAAACACTTGTTATTTTCTGTTTTTGTTTTTTATAGTAGCTATTGCAATGGGTGAGAAATGGTATCTCTTTGTGGTTTTGATTTGCATCTCAAATCAATATATAAGGTTCCAATTTCTATACCTCCTTACAAACACTTGTTATTTTCCATTTTTTTATAATAGCTACTGTAATGGTGAGAAATGGTATCTCGCTGTGATTTTGATTTGCATCTCACTAATGATCAGTAATGTTGAGCACCTTTTTCATGGTTTATTGGCCATTTGTATATCTTTTTTGGAAAAATGTCTACTCAAGTCCTTTGTCCATTTTTAATAGAGTTGTGGGTTTTTTTGTCATTGAATTGTAAGAGTTCTTTTTTTTTTTTTTCCTTTTTGTCTTTTTCTGTGTCCGGCAACGGATCGCAACCCTCAGTGTCGCCCCCGTACCGGACCGGGACCGGCAATGGGATCGCAACCCTCGGCGTTGCTCCCGCGCCTTGCTCAGCCAGTGAGCAGGAACCGGTCTGTATGTGGGATCCGAACCCTCGGCGGGAGTGCCACCACACTCCCAAGCGGCACACTATAGCACTGCGCCACCGGGCCGGCCCATAAGAGTTCTTAATATAGTCTGGATATTAATTCCTTATCATATATATGATTTGCAGGTATTTTCTTCCATTCGCTGAGTTGCCTTTTCACTGTTGATATTGTCCTTTGGTGCAAAAAACTTCTTAATGTTGATGAAATTTACCTATTTTTTTCTTTTGTTGCTTGTGCTTTGTTGTGTCATATTCAAGAAATCGTTGCCAAATCCAGTGTCATAATGTTTTCCCCCACGTTCTCTTCTAAGAGTTTCATAGTTTTAGCTTTTATGTTTAGGTCTTTGACCTATTTTGATTTAACCTTTGTATGTCCTTTGTATTTTTAAAGTTTTAGGTAGAGGTAAAGGCAGAAGCCAGTTTGCAAGGGGTTGAAAAACAAATGAAATGTAATTGAGAATAGTACGTTCTTTCTAAAAAAACCAAAAAAGGAGAGAATTGGAGTTAGTAGTAACTAAAGGAATGTATGGGGTCAGATGTTTAGTAAAACATAGATAAAATAAAATTTACCATTTTTAAGTGTACAGGTCTGTGATATTAAGTATATTCACATCGTATAGAGTATCTGTATGGGTACAGATGCTAGTAATTTAATGAATTCATAAGGCAACTAAAACAAGATAAGATCCTCCGCTCTAAGGAATTCAGAATAGTTGTTAGGGGGAGAGGAGGAATGCACATAAGTAATCGTAAACAAGTGTCATATACACCCAAAGTAGGAAATGATTAACTCTACCTATAGGATTCATGGAAGGTTTACTTGTGAATGATTAGTGAAGTCCATCACATCTACTAACAAAACAGCTTAGGGTGTGATAGATAAGCTTATTTATAAAGAATAAGGTTATATATAAGAATAAGGTTATTTATAAGAATAAGGTTATATTCTTATATTAATAAGAATAAGGTTATATAAATAAGGTTATTTATAAAGAATAAAATTATATATTTCATATGTTACAATTTATAATGTCTGTATAGAACTGTAAAATGTACATATTTTTTCCCAATCATTATCTCATACAGTGCTAAAAGGAAAATAAGAGAAGTGTTTTCCTGATTATGCAACCACAAAGTCCAATCCTAATTGATTAGATACAGGACCCCTAGCATTTACAGCTAACAAATGCCATGAAGGGACTAGTCCTGGTACATAGAAGACATTAAAAATAAACTTGTTGAATGAATGAATGGTTCATAAGAATCTTCCTGAATCTTGTTGCTCCTTAATTCTTAATGCAGTAATTAGAGACGCTTCTGAAGAAGGAAGACAAGGTCAAAGCTCAAAAGACTAGCTAAGGAGTTTGGATTTACACTGAAGGCAGTGAGTAGGCATCAAAGGATTTTAAGTAGGGATGTTAAGATTAAACACATTTGAAAACATGAATTCAATTATTTCCCTGTTTAAAACATGCTAATGGCTTCCCATCACACTTACAATAAAATCTAATTCCTTATTCTGACCTAAAAGGTGCTAAAGGATCTGGCTCCTTCCTATCATAACCCTCCATCCTTAACTCATACCACTCCCCTCTTTGCTCCCTATGTTACAGCCCTCTTCCTATTCTAAGTAGGCTCATTCCCACTTAGGAGTCTTCCTATGCCATCTCAGATACTTTTTCCCCAGCTTCACATGACTGGCTTCTTCTCACGGTCCAAATCTTCTCTAGCGGTTAATGTTGCTGCTGCTCAGATCCTCACTGCTATACCATGGTCCAATTTAATATTTTAATAGCAACTATCATTATCTGAATATATCTTGTGATTGCAAAGAAATTTTAAATAGGAAGATCAGAGAAAGCCTTTTCGAAATGACATCTGAATGGAATCAGCCAGTGTTCAGATGAAGAAACAGCAAATGCAAAGGCATAAAGGCAGTTTTCTTCTAAGTAATCTTATCTATCCCATGGCTTTAAATATCACCTATATACTGATAACTATCAAATATATACTTCTTCAGCCATATCAGCTGATAACTCTCAAATACATACTTCTAGCCACATATTTACAGCCCTCCCTCAGGAGGGGATTATATTTGCAGGGGATTGTTTCCAGGACTCCCCACAACTATCAAACTCGTTGGATACTCAAGCCCCTTATGTAAAATGGCATATTTGCATATAACCTATGCAGATCCTCCCATATACTTTAAATCATCTCTAGATTACATATAATAAATGACCTATGTGTCTTGGACAAACAAGGTCGATGTCATCGGAGTAGAGTAAGCAAGAGAGAGATAGGTGATGTAGTCAGAAGCAGGCTGAGGCCAAATTATGCAGAACTTTAGAGGCCTGGGTAAGGAGTCTGGATTTTGTACTAAGTGTGCTGGATAAGCCAAAGGAAGGTTTTGGGTAGGGGAATAATATATTATTATTTTCAGTGACTAACAGTTGTAAAATCACTTTGCTGAATGAGAAACCCATAAATTTTAAGTGGGTAAAAGTGGAAATGGAGAGATCAGCTGAGAGGTTACTGTAATAGTCCAGATAAGATATTATGGTGGTAGCAGTGAAGATGGTGAGAAGTGTCAGATTCTAGATGTCTTTTAAAGGTATGGTTGACAGGACTAGTTAATAGATTATTGAGGGATAAGGGAAAGAATCGAGGATGACTCCTAGGCGTTTGGTTGGTACACTTAAAATAACATGAAAGAAAGAACAGATTTAAGGGCAGTAAATCAGGAGTTCTGCCTTGGGTATGTTAATTTTCATTTCCAGGTGTGGATATTGAGTATGCAACATAATATTGTCAGCATTCTGTACCCACAGGTTCCACATGCACAGATTCAAGGAACTGTGATCAAAATATTAGGAAAAAATAAACAAACACAAATTTTAAAAATACAGTATAACAACTATGTACATAGTATTCCATTGTATTAGGTATTAGAAGTAATCTAGAGATGATTTAAAGTATATGGTAGGATGTTCATAGGTTATATGTAAATACAACACCATTTTATATAAGGGACTTGAGCATCCGAGGAGTTTGGAAACAATCCAAACAATTCCCAGGGGACCTGGAAACAATCCCCTGCAGATACCAAGAGAGGACTGTAAATATCTCTGGGCTAGAAGCATATATTTGGGAGTTATCAGCATAGAGATGATATTTAAACCTATGGGACTAGGTAAGATTACATAGAAGAGAGCAAGGATAAAAGGAGGGCCAAGGACATACCCTGAAAGCACATGGCAGAATAGTCAAGAATGACTCCTAGATTTCTGGTTTGGGGAAAGGGTTGAACATGGTACCATTTACTGAGATTTCCCTACTTCAGTGAATGAGAGGAATTAAAAAAAAAAAAAAAAAAAAAAAAGCTTGGGGAGGTTAGGATATGTAGAGAATTTGTATTGGCTATGTTGAGTCTTAACTACAGCCTATATCATGGAGATAATATGAAAATCGATAAAGTTCTTTGGCTGAAGTAGTTGTAATAAAATGTCATGATAACTAAAAACTATTAGACCATTCTCTGTGGGTCAGTTTTTCTATTCTTTCTCTTGGAATGACTACAGATCAATGAAATGAAAAGTATCATAAGCTCTGTTGATGAAACAGATTATGAAACCATTATTTTTATTAACGAGTCTCATGGAGAAAGAGGAGGAAAGAAAGTATTAACCAGCTAATTCTACATTAAATCAGGGTGGGAAAATATACCAAGCTTCATAGTGAGCTTGAAAGATGAAATCTGTACAACTTCCTAAAATAACTTTTATTCGTCTTCTTTTAGAAAGGTAGAAAGTTACTCTACAAAACGTTAACACAAAGTACACTTGCCACATTCACACAAATTGGAAAAAATTCACACGCAAAAAATAAGAGTGATGTAGTTAGGGCAGGAATGGTCTCTTCATGTATTCTCTTACTTATGTAATTGAGAAAGACTAAATTTCTTTGGATGGCCAATAAGTGGAAATGAACACAGCTGCACTGCAGAAAGAAAGAGTAGATGTCCCATGAGTTTAATGTCAGTTCTGACCTTGTGTTGAAAGTTTTCAAACGGCTTGAGAAACTGGGATGCAATTAATCCAACTGATAATTTAACTCTGGGAGCAGTAGAAGCCCGCTTATTTCTTCTTCACAGTGAATTTAAACAAACGGAAAACCCGGCCGTGTAAACTTAGGCCTGGCTGAGGGAAGCCCGCATGTTTGCGGGAGGGCGGGCGGGCGGCAGCCACCAACACTGCAGGAGGATAAGATACGGTTACATGATTTTATCTTGGGGTGTACAGAAGCCAGGCATTTGCAAACGAAAGAGTACTAAATTATCTTCAAATTTTGCCAAAACCATGCACGTTTGCATTTGCGGACACTGCGGCCGGCCCCTCGGATTTCTGACTAAATGCATCCAGGACCGGACCATCAACAGGAAAGGGGTCACATCTTCGGAATGGACGACGATTCCACTTCGAAGAAAGAAACGGCTTTTTCCAGCCAAAGATCCCCCTTGCTGAAAATCAGAAGCCGTGATTTTTCTTCCAAGGGTCGTTCTGGGACAAAACGTTAAGGCCAAAAAACACCACAATTCCTTCACGAGTGATCATAAAGAACAGAAACTGGGAAGTTCATAGGTCAGGCCCCTCGTGTACAGAAATTGGTTTTCGAGAGGCACATGAGTGTGCAAAAGTGACCAAGAGTAACCAGAAGGGACTCTTCCCTCCAGCGGCCGCAGGGGAACCCCGGGCGCGCCCCCCGCGCTGCCGAGGGAGAGCGGCCGGCAGAGGCCTCCCTGGCCTCGGACCCGCTTCCGGCAGATGTGGGACGACGCCCCCGCGTCCAGTGAACGGCCGATGGGGGAAGCGCCCACCTCAGCCGCGGAGCATCTCCACAAAGGCAGCGGCCGGGGCTGAGGGAATCGAGCCATGGCGCAGTAGCGGGTGGGGGAGAGCACGTCCGGCGGAGGAGGACGCGGGGCCTGGCCCTACCTGCCCAGCTCCCGCAGGGCGGGGATCATGGAAGCCAGCTCCAGGCCTTGCTCGCCCATGCTGAGACTGCGCGGCTCTCCCCAACGACGCCGACGCGGGCTCTCGGTGTGTCCGCGGCTACCGCTAGTGGGAGGGGGCGGCGCCCGACGGCGCCTCGCGGGGCCCAAAACTCCTCCCGGAAGCCGCAGCGGGTCCCGCTCGCCAGGGCGACTGCATTTCCGCACAGGACCCGGGGGAAGCCGGGAGGCCGCGAGGGCGGGGTGAGCAGGCGGCGTGCACCTGGGCCGAGCCTCCCGGCAGGATTCGGCCTTGGCCCCCTGGCGGCCAGGGCGGCACTCGCGGATGGTTTTGCCTTTGAGCGTCTGGGCTTGGCTAGTCTCAGCCTGGGAGGCTCAGGGAAGCAAGAACCGCTGACCTTGGGAGCAAAGTGGCTTGACGACCACCGGCTGAGACTCCCTCGCTTCGCAAATACGCGAACTGAGACTATTCAGCAAGGAAAGGCCAAGAGTAGAGCCCAGGCTTCCCCACAGCATAACGTCCTCACATTGTAAGCGTTCCTCATTTTCTCACCGCTCTTGTCATCCTTTCTTGAGATGCACATGGCAAAAGGTGGGCTCTTCCCTGTCCTTCCTAGTTCAGCAGTTTTTTTCAACTTGGAATCACACTTGAGTTTCCTTGAGGAGCCTACCCACCTTTAACACGTAAAGATGGGGTTGAATTGTATTTATATGTAATGTATTAAATCAACAGCAGCAGTACTGTGTATTAAAATGTCACCATTTGGGACATCTACAACCTGTGATTTAATTTTTTGAGTTAATCAATGGATTTCTCGTCTGGGTACTTTCTAGCTCAACTAAATTTTTTATTCAAAAGTTCGTCACCATAAGAGATTGTTAATATGTCAAAAATCACGTATTAATCAGGCAAAGCCATGCAGTGTGCTTACATTTATCCTTTGATACATGGGAATAATTGTTGATGCCACATCCAAAAGAAAAAAAAAAATCAAACGTCAAGAGTTCAGATCCCCATACCGGCCAGAGGACAAACCCCCCCCCCCAAAAAAAAAAATCCAAAGTGATGGAATGACAGCCAAATATGCTCCTGCCTCAGGAATTTTGCACTTACTGTATCCCCTGCCTTGAACATCCTCCCTCTTTGCCTCTTTTCCTTCAACTATTTGCTGAAATGACAACAGAGAGACAAGCACACATACACTCACACTCTTTTCCCCCATCATCTTGCTTTATTTTTCATCATGGCACTTAGAATCAAATGATATATCACATATTATTTTATTTGACCGTCTTTCCAATTAGAATATAAACTTGAGAGCA